GGGGCTCGATCCCAGGACCCTGGGATCATGACCTGAGCTGAAGGCAGACGCTTAACGACTGAGCCACCCAGGCGCCCTGGCTTCCTTGAGAAAAGCGGACACCGCATGCAGGTGTTCCAGCATGACTTTACCATTTCAAATGTATTTCATAGCCAGCTGAGTTGGAGTTGCTCTGAGGGGCATAAAGCTCTTCAGCGCCCTCAGAAGTGGAAGAGTCCCCGCAGGGTCCCCAGCAAATACAAAGCATTTTTACCAGAGTGATCTTTTTAAAAGATATAAATCAGATAAAATCACTCCCTTGCTCTGATGACTTCCTATTTACACCTGAAGTAAAATCCAAACTCCTTGAAAGTACTGGGCATTTCAGAGCTTAATCTTGAATTCTCATCTTTTCTCCCCCTATGTTCTTTCCTCAGGCAATGTTTCAATAGCCATGGATCTAAATGCCAACTTTAGACTGATGAGTCCCAAATTCATCTCTAGCTCAGACCTCCCCATGAGCGCCACACTCACACAGCCTATGGCTTACTTAACATCCTCACTTGAGTGTGATAGGACAGAAATTTAACATGACCAGACGAACTGTTTTTCCCCAAAAAAGGTGGTCCTTTGCCGCCCCTAGTCTCCTCCATCTTTCCTGTGTCAGTAAATGGTGGCACCATCTTGACTGGCCAGAAAGGGGACCGCTTTCTTTCCAGACCATACCCATGCTATTCCCACCCCACCTCTCCTTCCCATCAGAATCTATCAACAAGTCCTGGGGATTTTGATCTCCAACCTACATCTCCAATTCTGCCCTCTTCTCATCTCCACCTCCATCACCTTAGTCCGGGAGCCATCACTCCCTCCTCAACTACAGTCAGAGTCTCCCAATTCGTTTCTCCACCTCCACCCTTACCCCCCTCCCTCCATTCTCCACATCCAGGCTAAAGTAATCTGAAAACAAATCAAACCTGTCTGGTTAGGCTCTTCCAATGGCTTTCTACTATGCTTAGAATAAGATGCAAACCCTTACAAGTGGCCTACCAGGTCCTGCATGAACAGTCCCTATCTATCTCCAATTTCTTTTTTTTTTTTTTTAAAGATTTTATTTATTTATTTGACAGAGACAGCCAGAGCAGGAACACAAGCAGGGGGAGTGGGAGAGGGAGAAGCAGGCTTCCCACTGAGCAGGGAGGCCAATGTGGGACTCGATCCCAGGACTCTGGGATCATGACCTGAGCCGAAGGCAGCCGCTTAACGACTGAGCCACCCAGGTGCCCCCAATCCCATCCTCTTTGGCAAGGCCATATGGCTCCTTCTTTTTTAGAAAGCGCTCTGCCCTCCTAGGTGTAACTAAGGCAGAACACACACTTTTCTTAAGTGGCTGGCATCTCTGAGACCTCCTGACCGAACCATGCCCATTCCATCGGAGCACTGATGAGCTGATGAAATGGTCAAGTCTGAGTTCTCTTCATGGAAGAGAAGAGGATTTGGGAAGAATTCCTTATAAGGGAGATAAAAAAAAGTGATTGTAAATTTTGGTGCCACACCCAGTCCCTGAGCTCTAAAATTAGTCTGCAGGGTTTTGAGCCGGGAACTGAGCTGCACTGGCTGGTACGGCCAGGGCTGAGCTCAAGAAGAGGAAAGACTGAGAGGCGGTCCTTCCCCACATCACCGTCCCTTCTTAGACTTACATGAGCTCAAAGATCTCCCCGATGAGCATGCAAGTGAAGCCATTCTTCTGGTGTAGATTATAAACGTATAATTGTCAAGAAAAATGTGGTTGACAGAGACAGCACTTAGGAGCACAGACTTTGGGGGTCACATGCCCGAACTTAACTCCTGGCTCTATGACTTTCTAGCTGTGTGACTTTGGCCAAATTTACTTAATATCTCTCAACTTTCGTCTGCAGTGGCACTTTGGAAATAATAGCACCCGTCTCAGAGGATTATTAGGCATGAGATAATGGGCATAAAGTATTTAACACAGAGCTGACACAGAGTAGGTCAAAAGATATTAATTATTATAGTTATTAGCATCCTGTCAAAAAGAAAGATCACCTTTAGAGAGGTTCCTTATGAACTGACACCACAAAGTGAAAGGCACATAGCTCTTGGGAAATGCAGGCTTATCATTATCTATAATGATCCTTATTTCCCCAGCCTCTTTCAGCCTTAAGAAGAGTTCCATCTCCCTTCCGGGGATTAGAATCAAACCCACCCCAACTTCCCATCCGGAGCCCAGCTTAGATGGGGGCTAAGGGTCCCAGAGCTCCCACGCAGAGACACAAAGGATATTCGAGAGAAGAAGAGGTCAAGGTTTTCAATGTGGTGCCAGGGTGCTGTGGGCACAGGAGTAGAGATGTCAGAGCCCTGAAGGAACAGGAGCCCCTTGCTCCCTCCGTCGTGTTCCTCCACCTGCGCCCGCCCCAGGCCCCGGCTCCGCTGTCAGGTCCAAGAACTCACATTTGCTCCCCTCAGGGACGTGCACCAATAGGTCCTCCTCTCCAGGGGGTGAATCACTGTAGGAAGCCTCAAGGCGCTGGTATTCAGTGTCGAACTGCGCCATCACCACCGCCCCCTGTCCACTTTGTCCCCCTGCAGGGAATGACGAAGAGATCCAGGTTCAGACCGTGGTGCTGCTTGTCTCCTGCCCTGCCTAGCAGACCAGAAAAAGTGAGAAAGAATCTCTGGGCTTGGTCTCTACTCCCAGTCTTCTCGGCTCAAAGGCAGAGGAGTAGTTACCACAGGAGAGCAGTAAGTTCAGAGTCTGGGAGGTCAGTGATTCCCAGAGCCTTTACTGAGTGTCTACTGAGGTCTGGCTGGTCTGCCGCTTTGCGAGGGGGGGGGGGGGGGGGGGGGGGGGTGCTGTTTCATCTTCTACTCAGCGGAGATAAGGGGGCTTCCCTCTGCCCTCCTGGAGAAACCCGGGTCTCCCAAGAGATTTCTGGGAGATTGGAAGCACTTTGTAAACAAAGGTTTGAGATAAGCACATGGCCCTACCAGCTCCATGGGCAGCGTCTGCTCCACTCCAGCCCTTGATGCCCTCGCTCTGCAGCTGCTGGAGGAGAAGATGTCAGGCCCCAGAGAGTGGGCAGTGGGGATAGAAAGAAAGAAACCCAACCCTCCTACCCACCCACCCTCCACTAAGAGGAGGCCAAGCATGGGGCAGGTAGGCTGCAGTGGGGAAGAGGCACTAGGGCTAGATTACTTCCTCTGCTTGTACCATACAGGACCACTCATCCAACTCTAGGATCCCAAGAAGTGGCTTGTTGAGCCTGTAAAGACTGAGTCAGTACAGGCCTGAGGTCAGGCAGCTCCTCTGGACTGTTTTTCCATTGCCCCACCTCAGCCTCAGAAATTAGACAGGCCTCTCGGGGTCCTCAAAGCCCCAAATCCAAAACCCAAGAAGAGTCTCTTCTGAAAAGGGCCTTTCTGGTCAACCTCTTCCCCTGGTTCCCTAGCACCAAAGGCCCACCAGGCAGGCATAGTTCCTGGATGGGAAATCCTGACTGGGTCCGTGTAGACCCAGATCCTGGGCGAACTGTGGGGTCCCTAGGTCCCTGGAGCCAGGCATGTCTAGGCGGCACTCACCCAGTCAGTGCAGACCCTCGGGCCGTGGAACACGACCCAGCCTGGCCCCAGTGGGACTCCCTGGGTTAGTGAGAGCCCTGGGTCCAAAGGAGCTGACCAAACCTTCGGGGAGTTCACCACTCACCGGGTCAGTGTGGACCCAGGGTCATGGAGCCCCGGCTGGCCGGGCCTGGGCTCAGGGTTTCCTGCGGATGTTGGAAGAATCCAGCTAGTCCGACAGCCGATCACCCAGGTGGGCTGGGTTGCCTCCCTACACCCAGCCGCCAAGACCCGAGCCCAGCGCGCCCCAGGGTCGCCCGGCGCCAGGCCAAGGGCTCGGCTCCCAACAGCGGACAACCTCGCGCGCGGCCCCGCCGCCCGCGCGCGCCCCCGCCCGCGCGTCCCCGCCATCAAAACATTCCGGCTGCGCGCCTTCGCCCCTCCCGCGGCGCCCCTTCCCCCGTTACTCGCCGTGAGCTCACTTAGGGCTCCGCGGGCACCCTCCGTCAGGCCCGACCCGGGCCTTGGGAATCCAGTAAACGATCTCGGGTTTCACCTCCGGAACCGTGACCCGAGCGATTCCAGGGGCTCGGTCGGCTCCGCTCGTTTCGCCGGGACCCAGACCTTTAGGCCCGGCGCCTGCCACTCACTGTCACCCGCAGCCAGTCTGGCCAATGAGCATAGGGGGTGGAGACACGACGGCCAATACTCGGCTTCGGGGGCGGGACCAAAGGTTCGAGGTGGGTTTTGGACAGTCAGAGGACCAATAGTGCGCGCTGTGTGGGGCGGGGCTGAGGTGCGGGCGACGCCATTTGTCCCCTTCGCTGCTCCGTAGTGAGGAGATTGTTGTGGTGTTGCAGAAATCCGGGCTTGGAATTGTAAACGTGCGTGCCGCTTGGCTCCCCGGGACCTTTGGTGCCGCTCCTGAGGGTGGGAGCGAGTCCACGCGGTTTAGTCATTGCTGGAGCTCATCGCGCGGGTATCGAGGAGCGGTCGCTTAGGGAACCTCAGTGATTTTTAGCTCTACTGGACTCGATTTGGGAGCTGGTTGCTTCCCCCTTTCACTCTGTGTGGTCCGAGACTGTGCGTTTGAGAAAGCGGCCTGGGGTCACGTATTAACCCCCAGAGCGGACTCCTGGTACCAGAGTGAGGCCCGAAGTGCTTTGCGGCGTGGGGGAGACCAAGTCAGGCAGGCAGGAGACCGGGCGGTAGGATCGCACTCTGGGGAGCTCTGTTTCTGTCCCTTTCTGCTCTAGGAGCTCCTCCTAAAGAATTTCTGCTCAGCTATGTCGCCGGTTTCAGCAGCAACCCAGGTTCCTACGTTGGTCTCCCTCTTTGACCTCAACGCGGATGCTCCGATCCTTCAGGGCCTCAGCCTGGTGAGCCACCCTTCTGGGGAGGCTCTGGCCCAGGCTCTGCGGACTTCCTGTCCAGGTATCTGGGAAGGTTTGGGGAGGACCCACGAGGAACGTGACAGGCTCTTTAGAGCTTATTGATCGTCCAGGGAACACATTCTTATTGATATTCCCCGGTTTAAGAGCCCTTGTTGACATCGCTTTCTACTGGATAAAATTTATCTTAAATTCACTCAATCTCCGGGTTGTTGCCAGCACAGGCCCCCGAATTGTCTCCAAACAAGCCTCTTGCCATTGCTTAGGTCTGGTCACGTTTACAGCACTGCCCGCAAAAAACTTCAAAATTCCTAGATATAGTCCAAATTTAAGTGGTTTCAAAACAAATCATTCGTTCTTAATGAATGTAAAACAATTTTTTGGTTTTTTTACAACCTTAATTTGCCTCTGGCTGTTCTTGAACTTTTTTTTTTAAACAAACCACACCGTAATTGGAAATGTAAGCTAAAAAAAAAACACAGGCATTTGGGAAGTGGTTTTTGCAGTTAAAAATAATCTTAACGTTACCAAAAATTATTTTCTACAGGGTTCCTCTAAACAGTCCCTTTAGTTAATGTCAAGTATTTGATGTGTATTTGTCTCACATCTCTTCAGAAGCATACTTGTATAAAGTGATTACTGTGCTGTTTATCTCGTGATTCCTAGATTGCAAACTCTTTGAAGGAAAGGATGTGCCATCTTTTTCTTTTGTATCCTCCTTTGTATATCAGACACTGAATGTAATTGCAGGTACTGCAGGTTTGTACTCCCTTTCCACCTCTTATTACCCTCCCCTTATTTAGGTTCAGGGGAGACAGCAAGCCCAGAAAGAAAACCATTCCAGGGTCCGCTGGATATTTCAGACAAGTTATTTTGTTCCACTTGTGACCTGAACTTCCACAACCACCAGGAACAGGTAAAAGGCCAGGTGCAGAGCTAAATGGCAGAAGCAAAAGTATAGGGTGGGTGAGGAGAGGCAGACATGTGGTTTGTCTTTCATTAATAAAAGTCGGTGTTTTGACTGAAGCCGTTGGTGTTACCTGGTCATACTTTCTGGGGTTCTGTCATTGGTCTTGGGTACCACAAAGGGCCAGGCTAGGGCATATTTCCACACTCAGCCTCTTTCTTTGCCTCCTACCAGAGGGAACATTATAAGCTTGACTGGCATCGGTTTAACCTAAAGCAACGTCTCAAGGACAAGCCTCTCCTGTCTGCCCTGGATTTTGAAAAGCAGAGTTCCACAGGTGATGGTTGGTAGGAGACCTGTGTTGAGTAGGACATGGGGATGGAGGAAGGCCCTAGTTTAGGAGCTTGGGGAAAGGTCAAAGATGGCACACCAAACTTGTGCACTTCATGTTGTTTTCAGGAGATCTTTCCAGCATCTCAGGATCAGAGGACTCAGACTCAGCCAGTGAGGAGGACTTGCAGATACCGGATGAGGAGAGGGCTGAGTTTGAGAAGCCCAGCAGACCCCAAGGCTTCCACCCCCATCGGGTTCTTTTCCAAAACGCTCGGGGCCAGTTTCTTTATGCCTATCGCTGTGTGCTGGGCCCTCACCAGGCAAGTGGCGGCCCAGGTTGTGGCCAACTGCAACCTTTATGCACTCAGCCTAGGTCTCCCCTAAGCCTGGGCCATTTCTTACTTCTTTTCTTTCTGTTGGATATGGGTATCACCACTGACAGCACAGTCTTGGACTGAATTGGCCTGAATCTGGGGCCCAGTATAATGGAATTAAGTTTGGAAACAGACCAGTCTAGGTTTGAATTGCTGTTCTACCACTTGATTTGACTACCTCTACAAGCCTCAAATTTCCTTGTCTGTAAAGTGGAGACAAGCCTCAGGATGGCTGTAAGAAATGGGATCACGCATGTAAGACACTTGGCACTGGGTTTCTTCCTGTGAGTGCGTGCCATGGGCATGCTTGTGCTGTCCCTCTGTCATCCAGGTGCCCCCAGAAGAACCTGAACTGCTGCTACACAACCTGCAAAACGGAGGTCCCAGACACTCTGTGGTGCTCATGGCTGCAGCTGGGCACTTTGCTGGAGCCATTTTCCAAGGGTGAGAGGGTGCTGCCTGGGGTATAAGGATGCAGTGGGTCCGGTTAGCCTGGGTGTACGGGCTGGTTTCCAGCACTGAGTCTGTGTTGTCTACAGAAGAGACGTGGTGACCCACAAAACCTTTCACCGCTACACAGTGCGGGCCAAGCGGGGCACAGCCCAGGGAATTCGGGATGCCCGGGGTGGGGCTTCTCGTTCTGCCGGAGCCAACCTGAGGCGCCATAATGAAGCCACGTTATACAAGGTGAGTTAGGCGTCTCAGATCTGGTGGTCTGCTAATCTACTTTTTTCCCTCTCATCAAATGTTACAGTGGGGAGCTTGATGCCTGCCTCCTCCCAGTCTTCATTATTTCTGGAAAGGCGAAGGTAGACTAGGGATGGATCCCCAAGAGTCTTCATCCTCTCATTCTTTCTTCCTCTATATTATCTTCTGCTTCCCATTCCTTACACATCATCTGTGGGCTGGTTTTTTGGTTGGAGATTTAAAAATAGCAAGTGAAAATACATGGGTCTGAGTTACTCTCTTCTCTAGGATGTTCGTGACCTGCTGGCAGGGCCAGTCTGGGCTAAAGCGCTGGGGGAGGCTGGGACAGTACTGCTGCGTGCTCCCCGCTCTGGCCGGTCCCTGTTCTTCGGAGGCCATGGGGCACCCCTGCAACGGGGGGATCCCCGACTTTGGGATATCCCCCTCGCTACCCGCAGACCCACCTTCCGAGAGCTACAGCGTGTGCTCCATAAGCTGACCACCTTGCATGTCCATGGTGAGCTTTTGATCCGGATCCCCAGACTCCCTAGATCTTCTTGTACCTTCCTGCCCAAGCCTTGGGTTCTCATTTATACACCCAGACAACATCTTCATTGAGAGAGACCTGGGCTGGCTTCTGCTCAGGTAAACTTGAGAAACATCTTTTGTTTTATGGCAGGAGAAGACCCCCGGGAGACAGTCAGGTTGGAGTCACCTCAGACACACTGGAAGACGAGAGGGGGGAAGAAGGCTATCGAGGCAGAAAGAAAGGTCTCCAGTGATGAAAATGAGGCCCTTGGGCAGAATGAGGAATCTCCCAAACAGGGTTTGAGCACCATCTGGCAACTGTCAACTCTCTCTGGGTGTCTATCCTGGAAATGCAGTGTCAAATCTGCTGTTGCTTCTCTCTTTATAATGAGCCCTTACACAACACATACAGCATTACACACACACACACACACACACACAGGTCTGTTATGATAAGGGGCACCTGGTAGCAATTACTGAGACGGGTTTAGTGACCTTTCCAAGCTTCCTGTTCTGTTTTGTTCACTGATGTATCCCCAGTACTTAGAAAACACGAAATAGTACGTGAAACAGATGCTTGTGTGGCACGAATCTCACAAAATTGCTGTCTCACCGGATGCTGCGGTTTGGACTGAGGCCTGCTTTCCCTGGGGCAGACTCAGCGGTTGTGGCTGTCAGTGCTCCCATGCTCTCCCCTGTTGTGTACCATCCTAATGTGGCTCGAGGGGAGAGTCTAAGGACGCTTGTCCCTCCAAACCTTCTGCTGGGTCTTTCCCTCTGAGCTGAGCCTCATTTCTGCATGTGATATTATTGGATTCAGCTCTTGACGTGCTGATCTTGGATGACAAAATACAAATACTTATTTTCATTTCAAGACAATCTGGATTCTCTTTTTATGTACATTCTCATACATCTGGGGCAGCCCACATCCTTCCACCCTCTGTGTATTTCTTTAGGTGGCCCTAACATGTAGCATTTTTCCCTAGGTTCAGAGTCGGAGGGAGAGGACAGCTTCCAGGTAGAGTTGGAGCTAGTAGAGTTGACAGTGGGGACCCTGGATCTTCGTGAGTTTGAGGTACTGCCAAAGCGGAGGAGGAGGAAAAGGAATAAGAAGGAGAGAAGCAGAGACCTGGAGGCCGGGGCGCATGGGACTTCTCCCCAGCAACCTCAAGGAGATGATGAGGCCTTCTCACAGTCCGCCCAGGCACACGCAGCCCCTTTGGGGCCTTCCCTGGATGAGGCCAGGACCCCCGATCAGTCAGAGCTCTGGGACATGCTTCTAGCTGCTTGTCGAGCCGGAGATGTTGGGATGTTGAAACTCCAGCTAGCTGCCGGCCCCATAGGCCCTGGAGTTCTGTCTCTGCTCAGTGCCCCCTTGGGCTCCAGTGGCTTCACCCTCCTGCATGCAGCAGCTGCAGCTGGGAGAGGCTCAGTGGTTCGCCTGCTGCTGGAGGCAGGTGCCGACCCTACCGTGCAGTAAGTAAGAGTCCCCAAGCTGAGTGAGCCCTTTGGGGTATAGAGAGGACCGTCTGGAGGCTAACGTTGGTACTGGCTACTTGACGGTATTCCCCTTGATCTGTTCGGGTGAGGTTGGGAGATGCAGGAGGCAAGCTGAACCCATATTTGGGGCTTTTCACACCTAGGGACTCCCGGGCCCGGCCACCATATACGGTTGCAGCTGACAAGCCAACGCGTAATGAGTTCCGAAGGTTCATGGAGAAGAATCCAGATGCTTACGATTACAGCAAGGCTCAGGTCAGCTGGAAAAGGAAGCGGCAGCAGAGTAGGAAGGCAGCCTAGATCCTGGCTAAGATCTTTTGTACTTTCTTCTAGTTTTCCTAGGACAGTTTGTATGGGTCTTACCTTACACCTCCCCGGAAATCCTCCAGGTGCCAGGGCCACTGACGCCAGAAATGGAGGCACGGCAGGCTATGCGGAAAAGGGAGCAGAAGGCTGCCCGGCGGCAGCGGGAGGAACGGCAGCGGAAGCAGTGGGAGCAGGAGGAGAAGGAGCACCAAGAGCAGCAGCGCTTTGCCGCCCTCAGCGACCGAGAGAAGGTGAGGCCGGAGCTTCTCTCTTCCGCAGCCCCGATTTCCTTAGAGGTTTGACCCCTTCCCAGTGTGCAGCTGTCCCTTGGGCACCCTGTCCGCCACTGAGCCCTTGTCCTTAACAAGACTTCTCTTTCCCTCAGAGGGCTCTGGCCGCAGAGCGCCGGCTGGCTGCCCAGCTGGGAGCCCCACCCCCGCAGACCCCCAGCTCTGCAGCCCTCAGTGGTCCGTAAGTGCAGGGGCAGGCGTGATGACCAGGCCAGGAGTGGGCAAGTAGAATGAGTGCTGCCGAGTACCTCAGAAAGGTTGTCGGGGGTGGGGGGTGCTGGAGATGTTCTGGGAACCCTCTGGAGCAAAACCGGAAATGGCCCGAGGGGTGGGGAGAGCTTGGATTGGAAAGTTTCTGGGGTACCTGTTCAGCCATCTGTCTTCCTCTTGTCCAGACGCTGCTGGAGCTGTGGGACATCCCTCCAAGGCCTCACTCCCTTTCACTATCTTGACTTCTCTTTCTGCTCCACACGCTGCCTCCGGGATCACCGCTGCCAGGCCGTCAAGCCCTCTTCCTGATCTCTTACGGCTGCACCTGGAGCCAACTCGGCCTGGAGAGGGTGCATTCACACTAGCCCTAGGTTTCTTCTTTCCCGTGAAACAGGAGTATTTGGAAGATTAGGAAGGACACTCAGGAACCAGGGCAAAGACAGGGCCACAGAGGGGTGCGGAGCTGGGACTGTCTCTGGAACTTTAATCACAATAAAGTTTGGCAAGGAAATTGCACTTGGACTTGCATTTGGGCCTTGTGGCCTTTGGTTCCTTGTGGTCACCATGGCCAGCACCAAGGGATCCTGCCCACTCCATGTCCCAGGTCCAAGGGTTACCTTTCTTTCAGTGCCCACTTAACTCCATTGGTTCAAAGGCACTTTGTGTATCAGCTGAGAGGGAATAGATGTATGTCTTATGCAAGGTGCTGTTGAGGATAGGCCTATCCAGAAACTGGATTTGGGGCTGAGGAGGCACGTTTTCTAGCTCCAGCACTGTGATTTTGTTGAGGGCTCCCCCAGAAAGCAGCAGGGGTCTTGGCACATAGAGGGTCTCTTGTGGCCCCCGCTTTGTCCAGTACCGGCCCAAGTTAAACCCGTTGATCCAGACTTGGCCCTGGGGAAGAGAAAAGAGAGCGGAAAATAAAAGGGTCAGCTCTCAAGGGGGTAGAATCATCCCCTTTTGGGTTTCTTTCTTTTCTTTTCTTTTTAAAGATTTATTTATTAGCGAGAGAGAGAGAGTGCAGCGGGGAGGGGCAGCAGGCAAGGGAAAGAGAATCCCAAGCAGACTCCACGTGCTGAGCATGGGGCTTGACGCGGGGCTCGATCCCACGACCCCGAGATCACAACCTGAGCCGAAATCAAGAGTCAGATGCTCAACCGACTGAGCCACCCAGGAGCCCTTCCCTTTTGGGTTTCTAATCACGGATAATTTCTGCTCCCCCCTCCTTCATGATTTTCCTCTCATCACTCTGACCCCACAGTCAGCAGTACCTTGGTCCATCCAGGTAGAAAGAGAAAAGTGTCCCCGCCTTCTCCTAAAATTGGAAATGTTGTGGAGTAGAAGGTGGGGCCAGAGGGAACTTGAGGACGTGACCTTTTCATCAACTGGAGGGGAAACCACCACTTTACAAGCTTATCAACTTTCAGAGGGAACATCAGCCACTGGGTGAGGACTGTTTGCCCCAGAATTGGGGGTTCTAACAGGCCCTGTGAAGAAGGCAAATGAAAACTCATCATTCCTTAAGCTCTTAAGTCCACACTGTCCCTAATCAAGCCCTGGGGTGCAGCTGGTGGCCATGTCTGGACCCCCACAAGCGACTACTTTGCTGCCTGACTCCTAAGCACAGGGCTCTTGTTTGTCCTCCATTAGGCCCCTATTTTCCCAAGGGAGTTTGGTCAGTAAGAGTCTGGAAGAGAAGGGGTGGGCAAGGCTAGCTCACCTTGAAGTCACTGCTGTTAGACCCGAAACTGAGCCTCCCCATGTTCTCCAGTAAGATGTCCACTTTGGCCCCTACTTTCCCCATCAAAAATAGTTGGTGTTTCATGTTTCGTTCCAGAACACCCTGAAACACCTGTGGATAAGACGAGCTGTGAGAGGAAGGGCTCGGCATCTAACTCATGGCCATGACAGAGGAAGCTATGGTAGTTAGCACACGTATTTGGAGAGCAAAAAGAATGTAGCCTATCTGTCAGTTACCCACGCATTCTGGAACCTTAGCCTCAGTCAAATTCTTCCTCATCCCAGCTTATCCGTGGCCCCCCCTGCAAATGGAGGCAGACAGCGGGAAAAGGCAGATAAGGGGAACTTAAGGCTAAAGGGTGCTAGGGAGAAGAGACAGGCGCACAGGGTAACCTAGAATTAGGTCCTTACCCCATCTACCATCACATAGGCACGGTCGTGGACTCCATTGTTAGGCACCCAGAACTGTGTTGGCTCAGAAACAGTATAGGTCAGATAGGTCCGGTACAACACAAAGCCACGGTCCTGGGTATGGAACAGTAAGTACTTAAGATGACCTGAGAGGTCAGAGAGGATACTATGGCGAAGATGCGCAGCTGAGGGAACCACTGGCTACAGCTGTTGAGGAAAGCTGCCGTGCCTACTGGATGTGGGATTATGCCTTACCTGTTTGACAGCCTCAAAGGACATTGGCAAGATTGAACGGATGGGCCCTTGGGGGCACAGGAAGTCTAGGAAAGCCAGCAAATCCCCATCCTATTAGAATAAGGAGAAGATATTAGAATAAAAGGGAAGTTCCAGAATAGAGGGCAGAATGGCTGGGCCATTTAGAGAACAAAGGGGTAGGATCAGAGAAAAGATGAGGAAGAGCTTACCAGATGCAGGGTCAGAGGTCCAAACATCATCTTGGGGCTGGGGGGAGGTAAAGGTCCCAAGGGAATTTCCTGGAACTGAGCCCAAATTCCCTCAGGAGCCATAGGAAAACCACACAACCCCTATTCCAAGACCCTAGCACACACACAACCCCTATTCCAAGACCCTTGCACAGGGTTCTCAACCTGGGGTCCAGGGAAGGGCTTCAAGGGGTCATGAAGATCTGTAATTTTGCACATGCTTGAGTGTATCTTCCCAGGTAGTCCCATCTGGGTAGCTGGGAAATGGTTCTGTGGGCTCCATGGCCCAGACAACAATCTGATTTATGGGATCCCATTACAAACAATTTAGGTACTCCCTTTCCCCAATTTAGTAAGAGCCTTTGGCGCTTAATGAAGTGGTAGGACACCTCGCTGATGACGTTTCGAAGAGCAAAAAGCTTAGGTGTGGGGTCCCCTGCTTCAGATATTGGTGCATCGTAGTCATAGCTGGTAGTAATTGGAAGAAAGCGTCCCTTCTCATCAGCACCTGGGGTCAAACCAATTTCCTTCATTCAGTGTCTTTCAAACAATAGGCACTAAGCAAAGACATTCATGCAGAAAATTTTGCCATCAGAGGGAGCAGTGGTGGCCACATCCAGCTTCTAGACCTCCTAATCTACCCAGCCCTAGGATTCTAATTCCTTGATGCCTCCCTGCCTCCACCCCAGGGACCATCTGGACTCACCATTCCAGAATCCAAAGTTGGTACCTCCGTGGAACATGTACCTGAAGTGGGGGAAGGTGGAGGGAAAGGCAAAAGCTGACCCACTGAATCATTTTTATCCCCAACACCCTGTTACGGCTTCATGTTGACCCCCGTGTCTCCAGTTACATGTTCACACTGGCTCCCAGCTTCAGCATGTTCTCTAGGCCTGTGGTCACAGCCAACACGGACCGCGTGGAGTGATTCTGGCCCCAGTAATCCAGCCAGCCTGTGTAGTACTCGGAGTTCACCTAAAACGTGGAGTGAAAGCCGGGAGCGGGATAGGAACTGAGCTCAACCCATTCCCAACCCTGACTCCAGCTTTGATTGCCCTCTCCTCCAGCTCCTCACCAGTGGCCCACGGGGTTCATACTTCCGCAGCAGGGCAAAGATTTTGGTCATGTTGTCAGCTGCAGAAAGGAGGTGAAGGTGAAAGATAAACATAGAAGAGACGCTCCCCCTTCCCCAGACTCCACTCCACCCTTGCTCAGGAGACCTGGGCCAAAATCCACAGTGGTATAGAGTCCCTGGAGGGAGCCACATTTGAGTCCTTCAGGCCCATCTGTGGTAAAGAGCAAGATCCTGTCTCCTAGCAGTGCACGGAAGAGCCCAGCCAGGTGCCTCATGTAGCTGAGGTCACAGGCTCTGTAGCTACCATATTCATTTTCCACCTGCCAGGGAGAAGGAAAAGTGGAGCTTGGCTATGCAGTGGAGGTTAGGACCCCCGGCGCCTCCTTCCCCTTGCCCGGTCAACTTGTACCTGAATGCTAATGATGTTGCCCCCATTGTGGTAGAGCCATGGATATAACTTGGGCAGCAAGACCTTGAACCAGGAGTCCACTGCGGCAAGAAAGTCTAAAGGAAGGAGCAGTAGTCTGCACATTAGGACACCACCTTCACAGCCCCTACCCATCAAGGCCAGCAACCTCAGTGCTGCCTGAACCCTGGGCTACAGTTTGCATCCCACCGTCCACAAATGATTCTGAGCATCAGTGACTCTGAACCCTGAGCACTTGTGAATTTGCATGGCAAGGCCATCTAAGCACAGGAAACCTTAAAGCAGTGTTTGTAAATTTAATTTTTAAACATAAGAAAAATGTTAGGGACGCCTGGGTGGCTCAATCAGTTAAGCGTCTGCCTTCAGCTCAGGTCATGATCTCAGGGTCCTGGGATCGAGTCCCGCATCGGGCTCCTTGCTCAGCAGGGGGCCTGCTTCTCCCTCTGCCTGCAGCTCCCCCTGCTTGTGTGCTCTCTCTTTCTCTCTCTGACATACAAATAAATAAAATCTTTAAAAAATAAGAACACTGAATTCCTTTACATTTTGTGTTCTGTATAAAGGGTGTCCAGATGTAACTGCCTCCTTTAATCCAAGCATATGTTAAATCTTATTCAACAAATATTTATGGGTGCTTACTGTGCACCAAGCAATGTTCTAGGTGTTAGGGATACAGAATAGAACAAAATAGATAAAAGTCTCTGCCCTTGTGGAATTTCTTTCCCAATGAGGAAGGCAGACAATAAATAAATTGCTAAAATATATAGTATGTTAGTGCCAAGGAGAAAAAATAAAGCAGGGAAGAAGGATATAAAATGGTGGGGGAGCTTAAATTTTAGAGAGTAGCCCAGGGCAGGCCTCACTGAGAAGGTGATTCTGCAGGAAGATAGCAGTAGCACTGAGTGCAAAGGCCTCAAAGCAGGAATGTACTTGGTGGGTTTGAAAAACAGCAATGAGGTCAGCGTGAACAATGATGAAAAGAGTAGAGGTCAGGGAGGTGACAGGGCCAATTAGGTAGGACCTAATATGAAGGCCATTTTAAGGAATACATGGTTCATATTCTGAATGAGATGAGAACCTATTGGAGAGGTTTAAGCAGTGAAATGCCATGATCTGAGATATGTATTTAACTTCTATTTTAATAGGATTACCCTGTATCGAGAACAGAGGAGTAGGGGCAAAGAAGGGAAACCAGTAAGTAAGCTATTAAAGTAGTCCAGGTGGGAGAGGTGGTTTGGATTAGTGAGGGTGATGAAAAGTAGCTGAATTCAATATATTTTGAGAGTAAAGCAGCAAGGTTTTCTGATAGGTTGAATGTGAGGTGGGAGAGAAAGGCATGAAGAATTACACCACAGTGCTTAGCCTGATTAGTTAGAAAATGGAGTCACCATTAACTGAGAGGAGATCATAGGAATAGCTGGGGGAGTGGCAGGCAGAGGGAGACTAAACCTAACCCTAACCCTGCTTAGCAAGGAGCCCGACGCAGGACTCGATCCCAGGATCCTGAGATCATGACCTGAGCCGAAGGCAGACGCTTAACCCACTGAGCCACCCAGGAGCCCTCCTTCTTAGTCTCATGCTGGTTCTTCTCCCTTTCTCTTTCCGCTAGATGCTGGGGTGTTGCAGGGCTCAGTCCTTGGACGCTTCTCTTTTCTATGTGTTCACTCCTTAGACAATCTCATCCATTCTCTTGGCTTTCAATCCCATCTAATAGTTAATGACTCTGAAATAGGAATCTCCAGTCAGGGGATGCCTGGGTGGCTCAGTCGGTTAAGCATCTGCCTTTGGCTCAGGTCATGATCTCAGGATCCTGGGATCGAGTCCTGCGTCGGGCTCCTTGCTAAGCAGGGTTAGGGTTAGGTTTAGTCTCCCTCTGCCTGCCACTCCCCCAGCTATTCCTATGATCTCCTCTCAGTTAATGGTGACTCCATTTTCTAACTAATCAGGCTAAGCACTGTGGTGTAATTCTTCATGCCTTTCTCTCCCACCTCACATTCAACCTATCAGAAAACCTTGCTGCTTTACTCTCAAAATATATTGAATTCAGCTACTTTTCATCACCCTCAGCGGGGAGCCTGCTTCTCCCCCTGTAATCCCCTCCCCCCGCCCCCGCTCGTGATCTCTCTCTCTCAGGCTCTGCCTCCCTGACTCTCTCTCAAATGAATAAATAAAATCTTTAAAACAAACAAAAGAGACTAATAAGGAGTGGTCAGCAAGGCTGGGGCACAGGGAAGGAGCAGGGACCAGATAAAGGTGGTATCTTGGAAGCCAAGAGGAGAGTGTATGTCAAAAGATGGAGTGAACAGCTGGGCTGGGTGCTCCTGACTGGCCAAGGAGGAGAGAGGCCTGGAAAAGGGACTGTGGACTCAGGAGTGAAGAGGTCGCTGGCTTTCTTTTCTTATTTTTTTTTTTAGGATTTTATTTATTTATTTGACAGAGAGAGACACAGCAAGAGAGGGAACACAAGCAGGGGGAGTGGGAGAGGGAGAAGC